GAGGAGAGGAGAGGAGAGGACAGTTGGTTCAGAAGAGGAGGCTATACCTGTGTAAGCTTTCCCAGATGAAAAAAATATACATATATATATGTACACACACTCAGGATGCAGGTAGCATTCTCCCCAGTGGAAGCTTTCTTGCTCAACCTGCTGTTGACAGCAGTTGCAGTTTAGCAAGCTTGCTTAGGATCTTGTTTCTCCTTTTCAATCCAGATCTCAACTATTTGGCAGTAAGGAGGTAAGAAACCATCTAAACTGCCATGCCAAATTCAAGGTATGCGCTATTGCCTGCTCTCCCTTTTTTCTTAGATCTTGTCATATCCTTAGAAGCAGTCAGGTTGGGAAAGCAAAATTTTTATTGGTAAATCCATTCTAGCTGTTTGCAGTCACATTCTTGTTCATTAGGTGGCTGGACATTATTTCCAGGATGATTTGCTCTCTAACTTTCCTAGGAAAGAGGAAAGGCCTGTATTGCCTCACATTTTATCCTTTATAAAGATGGGTTAATGTGGTATTTGCCTCTAGTTTTGCTTTTGGGGTTTTTTTTGGTGTTTGTTTTTCTTCTTACATTTAAATAGTAGCAGAAGAGAGTGGGCCAAATACCCTGGCCTGGGGCTATTCACTTTTCAGAAAGGGCACCACACAAAAATGAAGTAACTAGTCAAAAACCGAGTTCTAGAACAAGCGGTACAAAAAGCCTGTGAACAATTGGAGACTGTTAAGAAAGGTGCTATAGCTAAAACAGATGAAATATGTGATACAATTTAAATGAAAAAAAAGCCAGAACCAACCCCCACCCCAAAATAGTGATAAAACATAACCTGTAAAGACTCAGTGGGAAAGATGTTGTTGGACCTTGCCCAGAAAAGATCAGCATTTAAAATGTAAGCTTGTATTGGTAAGAACATGTAGGCCAATGGCAGGACGAATGCAAGTGGAAAGTTGAGAAGGCTAAAAAGGCTCTTGAAGAGTGGTTTCCAAAAATGCTTGAGCTGCAGTAGGAAAATTTTGTTTAAATAAAGTGAAAAAGAAGCCAGTTAGAAAATTTTAGGTTTGCGTAATAGTCACAATGTAAAAGGACACAGTGGGTTTTCAGGGCCATAAAAGAATAGCTCAGTGAATCGTTGCCTCGGTCTTCCCTGCTGACGGTGCTAAGAAGATGCCAAAACCCCATGTATTCTTTGTAGCAGATCGATCAAAGGTGATTGATCTGTTTGAAGTAATTATGAGGTCAAGTAGATAAGTTATTTTTTAATATCTTGATGCTAACTAATATCTTCAGACCCTAATGAGTGTGAAGAAACCAAAGTATGAAATTACAGAACTGTTACCTAAAATAGTAAGTGGCCACTGTGCTAGTTGACTGGCAGGATGCCACTGTAACTTCTGTCTACAAAATAGGCACAAGACAAAGCAGCAGACTGGTGGACCTGAGTGTTTCATACTCAGAAACATGGCAGTCTGTCTTTAGGAAAAAGAGGTGAAAAAACACCCAACAAACCCAAAGTGGAGAGAGAGGAGGCTCACTGCCACAGATCAACCCAGTGGTTTTGGGGAAGCACCAGTGTGTAAATTCCCTGTAAAAGGGAAATGCTGCTTCATTAACCTGGTGCAATTGCAACTGATGTGAATAAAATCTGATGTGTATTTTCCAACTGCTTTTGACAAGATTTCACATGAAAAGTTATAAAGAGCTTCTATTCCTGCAGGATTGGAGGAAAAGTCCTTTTCGCAGCAGGGAAGCAGTTGAAGTAGAGGAAACAAAGGATAGTGCTTACATGCCACTTTCAGGATGGAAAATTGGAATCAGGCTGCAGAAACTGTTAGGCTTGTGCTCTCTCCTGAGTAGCATCTGCTTTTACCTATTCTGGAGACAGAGCACTGGTGATGGATGGACCCAGCGCTGGTCTAACCCAGTTGGGCATTTCTAGCATTTATGCAAGCCAGTCATTGACTTTTACGGGTTGGATTTTGTATTACACATGATCATTTCGTGTCTAGGCTTACCTGAAATATTTCCAGTTTAGGTAGGTCATATCTTTAGTTGGAGAGTGTTTCACAGACAAATTAATTTATGTGAAAGTGTTTCAAATATTCAGACTATAAACTTAGCCCTTCACTTATTTAATATAATTTACTTACTTCTGTGTGTCTTTCATTACCTGAAAAAAATCTTTATGTAAAAGTTATCTCTTTTAAAAAATCATGTGCAATTATGTTTAGAAGATAGATGTTCAAGCAGGAAGGATTCTAAAATATCCTTAATTCCCTCTCTTGTGTTCACGTAACATTGAATACAGTCTTCAGTTATGTAAATGGAGAACGTTGTTTCAAGGAAGTGATTTGTCATTCAGTGCAAAAAGTGAACATGCTATGAGGAGTTAGGACACTGTGGGGCCACTATACTGTGTTTTATAGAAATTTATGACTGAGGCATGGAGAATGAAACAGGTGAAATGAAAGCAAACCTGTGAAGGCAGCTGAATGATCCTGAAAACAGCTAGAATCTTGGATGTCATACAAAGCAAGTTACTTTAACTTCTCATGTTTCTCATTTGCTTTGTACTTCATGTGAGACTGCAGGATGTAATTGCAATATTTAGAGTTACAGCTGAGTCAGACACCCCTTAAACATATACTGTTTAAAATACTCTGTATTCTGAAAGAACTTTTTTTTTTAAATCCTTTCATTAAGTCAGCACATATTTTAGGTCAAATTTCCCTGTTCCTTATCTCAGAGAGATTTTGTAAAGCATAAATTTCATATAAAACAGTTAGATGCTGCTGTTCAGAGTAGATCAGAAAAGGCTGTGAGATAATCAGCAATTTAACCTTCAGGAAAGAGCTAGCATTATGTGTATTTGTATTAGGATATGAGGTTATATTTTAAGTATAATCTGCAAATTAAATGACTGCCATATATTCTATGTACTGTAGGATCCTGGGCTAAAATAGGTGGAGACCTTATTGCTGAAATAGTTTACAACTATATAATTTATTTTTTTTTCAGAAAACACAAGTACAGATGAACCATTTAAATTAATGTCTTTCATTCTAGCATTTCCCAGTTTATTTTCGAAACTTTAGCATTAGTATCCTGACAACTTTTTTGATATGTAATTTTAATACAATGAAAAACAGTAATTCAGGTATTTTGCTGTACAGACCTTTGCTGGTTGTTACTAAGAATAAACTATTGTAGTAATATACTACTAGATCAGGGATGGGAAAAGGGGGGGAGAGATTTTGTGACGAAGTTTCTCAAATAGTCGGTGGAAAAAGAGGAATGGTGAGGTATATCTGCACAAGGTTGGCTGGTGGTTTCCTGTGATGCTTATTCCCCTCCTGACAAGATTCCACCTCCTAATGGTCTCCTTTACATCTCAGACATTTTCTTGCCTAAAAAGGACTGGCTGAAACTTCTTAGTGTATGTTACAACTGTCATTATACCTGAATTTTGTAAATTGCAACTTATAAATTTTAGTCAGCTGTTGTACAAATGGCTGTTTATGTTTGAGGTATGCTAGGTGTCATCAAATGAGGAGTTATTTCTGGGTGGTGACAGCTTTTTCCCCAGTAATATATTTATACCATTTTGGTTTAAATAAGTGGTTTTAGTGGCATCTGTATGATCGTTCTGTGGTTCTTAATTTTTTATTTCCTCTTTCATAGGCTGAATCTTGAAGAAGAGTTGGATCAGATGAAAGTATGTCAATCTGTGGGTACGTTCACAATACAGGAGTTTAACTGTTTACAAAATAAAAGGAAAAGTATAGTATTTCATATGTATGTATGTATGTAGTCTGCTATAAATATAATTTTTAAGGTTATTTTCTCTCCAGAGTTTAATTTATTTTTCCTTCAATGTGTATTTTTTAAGCATTATGCCATACACATTGTTATTGCAAAGAGTTTACATAGAGTCAAAAGATCATGGAATTATTTGAGTTGGAAGGGATCTCAAAGATGATCTAGCTGCAACCCCTCTTCCATGGGCAGACACCTCCCAGTATACTCAAAGTCCTATCCAACCTGGCCTTGGAACACTCCCAGGGAGGGGTTATCCACAGCTTCCCTGGGCAACCTGTTCCAGTGTCTCATCAACCTCATAGTGAAGAATTTCTTCTTAATGTCTAACTAAAATCTACCCTCTTCTGGTTTAAAGCCATTAAAGTTCTCCACATGCCTATCAATGAAAATGTTTGTATATAGATATACACTAAAATATATTTGGAACTTATGTACATATACTATATATAAAATTAGTTAATTATTTTTATGTTTAGTATGTGAAAAATCTAAAACATGTATATAAGTTTGTGAAACTTTCTCCAGGGTCTAAATAGTTTTTGCAGAATTGAAATACAGTGATGCAGAAATTGCATGTGCGTTCAGACTTCTTTTTCAATACTAAACACATCAAGCATGTAATTTTGAATGGAAATCAAAATAATGGAGCTCTTGTAAGAACTGGTCATGAATAAATTCTCTTAAATCTTTGCAGTCTTTACAGTATTTGATGGTTCTGTGAAGATGGGTCTTTGTGATTTGGATAGATAATATATTACCGTTGTTTCTCTGTCACTCCTCTGGTTCTTTGTAGTATTTGCTGTTCCTGAATGGCCTGGTACAAGTATTCGAGAGCGCATAGTTACAGTTCAGCTGGGTTTCATACCTGTGGTGAATTCTTTATGCACAGTATTGTGCAAGGAAGGGAGTAGGAAACTTGGAGAAGTATTCTGCATGTTCTTAGCAATAAATGCACAACATTCTTTATCTCAGTTCTCTGCTGTTGGCTCTTTCCTTTTTTTGTGATAATGTTGGCCACTTGAATGAATAAATAAAGTTTTTTTCCCTTTATTTTAAATTTTATTACCTATAAAGCTGAGTGGAAATATTCAGATGCTGAGTTAGTGTTTTGTTTTGGTTCATGTGTTCTTACGTTTTACTTTCACAGGCCCAGAGCTGAAGGGAGCTAGTGAAAGTTTCAAATACTGACTTTAAAGATTACTTTTTTTGCTTTTGCCAGTATTGTCAACGTTTACACAGAGAGAAGTGGAAAGGCAACCAGCAGGGAGAAGGAGATGAGGACCTGCTGAGCAATAACCATGTGTTTCCAAAAAACAGTCAGATCCTTGAAACTGCCAGTTCTTGACATGTTCAGTGCTTTAACGATTAGTCTTTTATTCCTTCCTTTTTTAAAATTATTGTTTCAGATTAAAACATATCCTCTTTTGAAATTGTGTGGCTGGATACACACTTTTTGTTTGGTTATTGGTATGATGATTAATTTTTTTTTTATCTTGGGACTAAGAGAAAGGTACTAATGAAGTACATTAGGCAAATTTTATTTTCCTTTTCCAACATTTTTTATAGATATCATTTAGATTAATAGGCAATTTTTGTAAGGTACAAAATCAAGTCCAAAGATATATATTGAACAGCACTTTTTGTTAGCACATAAGACTGAGATTACTCCAGCTATTTCCAAACTTATACTAAAGTATAAAGAAATAGCTGCAAACCTAGTCATAAAAAGTAATTTCCTTGTTATTCCTCTTGCAAATTCTAGGTATTGCAGTGAGGTGGACACTTTTATAAATCAATTGACATTTTCTAGAAGACTACACCATAATGATAGAAGCTGGATGTCCATCTTTGAGCATAAATGAGTGTATGTGAGCAGTTCTAGCTCATGCACTAAGAAAATGCATACACCCTCTGTCCTAAAATGGGAATTAAATTCCTTCATTTTCCCAAATCAAAGTACAACCTCAGGTGAATTATCTGTAATTTGCTGAGAGTCCAGACTTGATATAGTTTAAGTATGTTTCATTCACTTTTAGTAAGTATGCTTATTTTACTAAAGGAAACCTGATTTGAATTTACTCGGCTTATTAATGATGTTGGAATTCACTTTCACCTTAACAGGTACCTGATTCCATCAGGCATTCTAATACCAAGGGATAAATTCAGAAAAAAGTGGTTGAGCTTCCCTGTATTAAAAAAGATAGCCACTATCCTCTTGCTTGAGTAGGTATCAAGTGTGTTTGTTGCTCTTCTGTATTGTTTTTCAAACCCTGCTGGTCAAAGTTGAAGGAGGTTGAGGAAAAGGAAATTCTGCTCCTGCCATTCCCAATTTCTTTCTATTCTGACTCAGTTTTCCAAGGTGCTTCTTCCGTCATTGCCAGTTATTTTCCACCAGTTATTAAATCCAAATTCAATATTAATGCCATTCCTGTCATTATTTGTGTGTGAATGTTAAGAATGTGTTGGCAGGTACTCATGCCTTTTCCTCCAAATGCAGGAAAGTGGATCTATCTGAAACTATTCAGAAATACAGCAAGTGCCTTGTTACAAGAATGTAAATTGTTGGCTGTTTATTCAAGCAGGCAGTTTGAAGGCTTCTTTTGTTATGAGACTTCTGAATTACTGTGTCCCCAGCTCATGTGTGACAATGGCATTCCTTTCTGGTCTTCACAATGTTTTTTCTCACCAGCTATTTCAGACCTAGCACATCTTTGGGAGCACTACTTTCAATAACAGTGGCTTTCTACACCGTGGCTTCTCCTGTCTGTTAGGGGGATTTCTTCACCTGGTGCATACTAGAGGCAAAAATCTCATTTTTTGATGGTTCATGTAGGAACGCTCTGAGTGACTAATACACAGCTCTGATCTTTTTGAAACTGGTAGCTTTTTCTCTGTTTCAGAAGGCTTTCTGCAAATGCTATCAGTGAGCTGTAGTATCATAGTTCAAGTACCATTATGGCAGCAGTGTTGAACTAACTTATTATCAGGTTTGGTGACTATTAATTAGGAATTAAGTGTTACATTCTAAAGCTGGCAGTTAACTGTGTTTTCTCAGTGGGACATAAGTATACTTCTGTAACACCACAGTAATTTGATGACTGAAGATAGTGGGGTTTATGACTTGTGGGTCTATTCCTTGAGGGACAGTTTGGAAGTTTTTAAGTAGAGTATGATGGGTAGAGTGTACGTCTTGCGGTATTGGTTGGTATGATGAATCTTTCTGCTATCATAGAGAGTCAGACATTTATAGGCAACGCTGTTTCATTGCCTCCCTAACCAGTTCCTGTGAACAATTACATAGCAATTAGAAGGGAGGATGGGAGAAGGGGGCTGAATAGGCCATTTATTTTCTGCTCAATAGAAAGTGTTATGCATCAATGACCCTTGGCTTTTCTTTAATTTTATTTTTTTTGCGTGTGACATATGTTATAATACTGAACATGTGTCTTTTCTGTCTATCTTGCAGTAGTATTATTTATTCTCAGCATATAGTATGTTTATTTATAGATAGAGTTTTAAATTGGATTTTAATACATCCACATAATAAATGTAACACCTTGTGTGCTTTGATCAGTTTCTTTGACTATGAGAAATAATTTTTCTTTTCAGGGGAGTATAGTAAATACTGATATAAAAGCTACAGCAGACATTCAAATGAGTGAATATTTAGAAAAAGATGAAAAGCGTGTTCATATTATCTTTGTGTGTTACTTAAACAATGTTGTAAATGTATGCAGTATCACTGTGCTGGGGGACTGTAGTCTGAAATAACATGGGAACTAACATATTAATATCAAGGTAAAGGTACATATTCCCCAGACACATAGTTTTACCTTTTTCAGCTTTTATTATCTTTAGAATAGTGTTCCATTTATTTCATGAATACAGAAGTATTAATTGGCCATGACATGTTCCAAAGACAAAAGAAAGGTCTAATTCACTCTAACAAACTTGTTAGTCACTGTTTACATCAAGAGGATTGTGAATCTACAGAGAGTAACACTGTTTTCTTCTACACTTGCTTTGTTTATAAATCAAAAGTTTTTAAGTGACCTGCAATGTCTGCTTGTAGTTTGAAATGATACTTCTAAAGCAGACCTCCACCATATAGCACAGATAATACATAATCCCTTAAGATTAAGTCTTCAAATTAATTTCTGGGGAAGGAGGGCAAGAAAATAAATGTTAATATTGTGGTGTTTCAACAGTGTTGGAGATTTTTGTTCTTTAATGTAATATTTCATGTTCTAAGAAAAAAATCATTCTGAAATGTGTAATTGTTCATTTGTGTCAGCAGTGGGCAATCTGTGAATGTTAAGCTTTAGGTTCAGATCTAAACACAATATATTTTACTTCTGATTTTCCATATGTATTAGTACTTCAAAACTTTTTCTTAGCATTCTTCTCTATGAATAGATCTAATTTTTACTTATTTGTTTTGGTGAGATTTTTACTAGCTAAAGTGCAGAGCTGTTTCTGAGAGTGGTGCTTAGTCACGTTCACTCTCATTAGTTGCATCAATTTTTAATTGTTACGAATTCACAGTATTACAATGGAAAAATGTGTCTGATGTATCTGGTGAAGTACATGATCTTTCACTTAACAAAAAAAAAGCGGGTTAAAGTTTTCATCTGTCCTAACTCTGTTACTGTTTGCTTTGTTCATCAATCACTCTGATCCTCCTAGCAGGAGACAAGACCTAGAGAACAAAACTGGTAGTGACTGTGTAGATAAAAAGGCAATGAATTCTGCTTTTAAGGCATAGAGGGAATAGTCTATAAAAGAATAAAAATCGGAATGAAAGTACAGTGTCTTTAACCTGCAGATCTATTGTACCTTTGAAACGCTTGTACTCTGAAAAAAAACATACTGTGATGCTACAAAGATTCATAATTATGTGACAGAACACTTTGAAAGAGGTCACTCTTTAGAAACTGACCAAGGACTTGTCAAGAAAATACACCACATTATAAATAATTGCAGTAGTAAAGAATGCATTTCCTTAAATTGTCTAGGTATTGTTTTAGTGAGGTACTAGGTGTCGCAATATATTTATAAATATTTATTTATTTTGTGATAGAGATGTATTATTTATTTTCGGACAGAGCCACCTTTTAAACTTAGTGAAGATGATGGGCTCAAGAACAGTACTCCAAAGAAGAATATGAAAGAGATTTCCCATCAGAGATTACGGAAGGTACGATACTAACCCCAGAAAACAGATTTAAATTTTAGTGTACAATTAGTATATATATAAGTCAGTACTCATGAACTTAGGCCATTATTTCCCTTTTCTAATTTAAAATTCAGGATTTTCAAAATTGTGTGAGAAATGAATTTTAGTGAAGTAGCTATGAATGTCTCATGAGATAAACATGGTTCATGTTAGAAAAAATGAAAAGGATGTTTGGAGGTAGCATGCTAAAAAATAATTAATTATCTGGAGGTAACATATGCTTAGTGTTTTACCACTTTTAAGTTCAGAAACCTTTACTTTGCTGAGTATTTAACTTTACATGATGTCAGGTGTTAATCTCCATAGAGCTCTTGCTACAGAATAAAATTGATGCATAATAGTGATAAATCCACATTTTATTGTATTTGAACTATAGCACAACATTGCATATGCAAATATTTTTTATATATGTGAGATTATCACTCTTTTCACGAGATAGTACTGTATGCATTTAGTGTTCCTTGGCTTATCAAGTATGAGGAGTATTTAATATTTACTGCTCAACATTCTACATGTCTTAGCTCATACAATAACAAGATGTTCTTAACTAGTTGCTATTTGTATTGATATTGGTAATATACACAAGTAGTTTAGTATGTTAACAGGTGTTCACTTAAGAGAGCTCACTTGTATTTTACCATATGTTTTGTTTGCTGCAAAGACAAGACATCCTTCAAACAGTATCATGCCTTTTTGTCATTTTGCAAAACAATATTTGTTTAATTACTTCTGAATCTTTAAAAGCATGCTTAAATTAAATAAACACAAATCCATACTTTTAAATGTCAGTTTGGGTATGTCATTTTTTTATCTGTGAATTAACTTGCAAGAAGTATGGTAATTTACAGCAGATGATGTGATTGCATATACTTGTAACACTTGCCATATGGTCAGGCAATGAAGGCTGTCATCTCGTTATTACTGAATGACAAACATCATGTTAAAATAATAACACACAGAATAGGAAGTGCTCACATTCATTTATCTTAAGGTAGAGTGAGTAATTGAAATAATATAGATGCTACCATCTGAAATGTCATACAGTTTATGCTAGTTTATCATCTCTATTTCAGAACTATAATTTCATTTGCCAGGTACTACGTAATTTTTATCCCTATGGATGTACAGAGTTATGATGGTACCTTAGGGATAGCTGTAGAAGCTATTCATTGTTTCTCTCCTTCTGGCTGTCATACATTACTTTTAAGTCCAGTGAGTGCAATAGGCTGCTTTGAAGAACTAAGAAAATAATAACACAATCTCAGTTTAGGAAGGTAATTGAAGAAAGATACAGGTCTGACTCCTTACCATTAGGGAGGAAAGTACAAGTTATTATTTAATCATAAACCTTGGTTTCAATAAAGCTTTTGGAAAAATCTGTTTTATATGTAGTTTCACCCAGTAATGGTATGTAGCCATAAGGCAAACTCTCTTCATTGTGGGAGTGCTGTGAATTTCTGTAAGGGAAGGTACCAGTAGATCGGCAGGAGTATTGAATATTTGCTGCCAAACTTACACATTGCATATCAAATTCACAAATGAATATTGGGTTTGAACAGCTCTTGCCCTAATTCACTCTGTACATTAAGTCCTCTTGTTTATCTGAATCAAATCTGTAGTACACACTCTGTAAACAATTCCATACATGTTAAAAGAATTTAAATGCATTGGCAAAATTTCCTTGCAAAAACATACAGCATTTCTTGGGGAGTATTATGGTTTCAGTATTGTCAGTGTCAAAGCAAGTTTTGGCATTTTATATTGCTACAAATTGATGGAATTAGCCACTATTTTGTAAGGTGAATAGCTGAAGCTGGCCAAGTGCATTCTACCACAGTTCCTTGAAAAAACATTCTTTTCTACCCATGTCCAGAAAAATGTAGATCACCTAGCCCTTCCCCTAGTGAAATCATGGAGATGGAGCTTATTCAAAATGAATTGAAAATATTTCTTCAAAATGACTAAGTGGTTACTGAGCACAAAACTCTGATGCTCTTTGCAAACTTCTGGGCAAATGTCACAGACTAGATGTTCATTTTAGTATTTGCTAAAATTAAAATTGTTCCTAATTTCTGGAAATTGTGGGGCTTGTTTGGAACTTTAGGCAAATATTCCAGTAAAACACTGGCAATTAGTTTATTGTTAATGGCCTTGAATATGTGTAAACCTCAAAGGACCTTACAGACAAAGCATATGCATCCTATATGGGTAGAATATGGTCCTTCAAACTATTATTAAGAAGCTTCTAAAGTGGCTTCATGGGAATAGGGTAGATTTTCCCTTTCTGTGAATAGGAAATATATTTCAGCCTTCATATTCTTTAGGTGCTGAGCTTCTGATACCTCTTGCTGCTACTTTTTTAAGGTTTTTTTGACCATTACATTAATAATTTGTGTATTTACTATACTTGACAGAACTTGTTGATTCAGATAACTAGTGCAAAATTGTGTGTATTTTAAAATAGTTTTTCTCCTGAAAATGTTGTTTTAAATTCAATTAGTATGAATAACCAAATCAGTAATGAGGTCAAGATGTATCAGGAAGGTTCATTAGCATATTTAAACTTCTGTGTCACTTTGTCTGGAATTTTAACTTCTTTTACCATCTGCCCTTGGCTCAACAGCTGTATTATTGCAGCTAAAATGTTTTCATCTGCATTACATTAGAATTATTTTTAAATTAGGGCTATAGATTGCTTTTGTCCTTGTGCTTAATGTAATATTTCTGTCATATAATAAATATGTTTGAAAGCAGGGTTTTTTCTACTGGACAGGCTGAAATATGAATGTTAAAATTGACTTTCTTAGGTACAACAACTAGAAAGAAGATTCAAAGCTATTGAAGGGGAATTAAAGAAAGAGAAAGAAGTAAATAAAGACTTACTGAAGGAGAAAAATTATTTGGAAGCATCTTTAAAAGTGAAAAAGGAAGATGCAGACACAAGAGAAAGAGAGCTGGAAATGCTGCATAAGAGGATTTGTGAAATAAAAAAAGACAAAGTGCAACTTCAGTTAGTGATTGATGAGCAGAGAAAAGAAGCTGCCTCTTTGAAGAGACAAGTGGTGGAAGCTAACTGGTTGAGAAACGAAAATGAAGATTTGCTGAGTCAAGTGCAGGAGCTGAAGTGTTTGTTGGATGAAGCCAAAGCAGTGGCAACCTCTGGGCAATGTAATTGCAAGATAACAGACACCAAGGTTAAATTAAAAACAGCCAAGAAAAAGAGCTCCTTGGGACATCATGGAGCTTTTCTCAAACAGTCCATCAAGGTTATGAGTAATGTATGTGAGAACTTCAGTAAGGACGGCTGGGAGGATGTGAGTGAAAGCAGGTACTGCTCTCATTAACTTAGCTCTGTAGAGGGGACACTGTGCATATGTAAAGCACTAGGAAATGGAGATTGAATTTCAACTACTGTTGATTTGGTATTCAAAAAAAATACTGTCAGATCCTTTGAAATATCTTGGGAGGTCTTGTTCTGAGCTTATTGACTGAAATTTGCATGCAAAATTAGCCACAACTGCATGAGTATTTGAATAGGTGCCAGGAAACCCAAAAGAAGGCAATGCTTGATTTCTTCCAGTGATTCTATTTTCATGCAGTCATGAGGCTTGAAATTGACAGTTTGGCAGGTTGATTTAATTTGCTGGCCCTTTGCATATTCACCACTGACAGCTAAGGATTCCCAGGCAAGCCTACTAAGTCAGTTTAGTTATCTTGTGACATGCCGACCCGGGAGGAGAAACATTTTTTCCCCTTAATTTAGTTAGATAAATTTTGAATGACCCATTTCAGCTTGCTAGCAGATGTCTACAAGCTGTTTAACATCCTTTAAATTAAGAACCATCCACACTAATTATTTCATGTATGTTTTATGCACAGTCATTGTACTAACGTTAATTGAATGATGGTTAAAATCAGTATTTTAAAGGTAATAGTTACTGCATAGAGTCCCTGTCATGAGTAACAAGCCTTTCAGAAAATCACACTGGCAAGTTTAGAATTTTTGTTTTTGTTTCTTTTTGTCCACACATACCTGAGGAGGCAGCAGTTAGCCACTGGGTATCACACCTTGTCTTTCAACACTTTGTCTTATGAGACAAAGTAACTTCTCAAGACTGTGCTTACCCAAGATATAAAGAAAGTCCCAAAAGAGTAAAGAAAATGGAATTGTCTCTGTAGTCTTTATGTTGGCTTAATATGTCATACGGAGCAAATCAACAGTGGTAGAGGGATCCCTTTTACTTCTCTCCATGCAAAATAGGGCACTCCTAAACACAGTCTTGAGGGAGAAAATTAATAACCACGTGATTTGTTAGGTATTATCAATAATATAAAACTTGTCTTCTGTTTAATTTAGTATTGCAGGCCTGATTTTACAAAAAACATACATGTTTTTCTGTTGTGATTAGTGAGCTTTTTATTTACTATGTTTTGCTTTTTATGAACAAAAATGAGGAAATTATCATTGCAATTTGAGCTTGAAATTAAGTAGGAAGTAATAGTATGGCTTTAGTTGTCATGGCTATTCATAAATACTACTTTTGATAATAGTTCAAGTTAGAAATTTTTGCCATAGAATAGTGAACATTTTTAAAGGTGACGTTTCAAGGTGTTATTCTCATCAAATTAGGAAAGTGTCTTAAATTTGGTCTCTCTTCTGCTTATTCAGAAGTAGTGTTCTTTATCACTGCTAGCTGTGTCTGAGTTTCTAGCTTCAAGCCTTTCATTTTCTAAGTTCTATTTTCATTTCCTTAAAAGCATTCAGGTGAGGGAAATGTGCACGTAGTTAGAAATATCTCTGTGCTACTGTAAGACCTTCAAACTGTTACACTGATTTCTGTTCTTAGCAGTCAATACGGTATACCAGTGTGTCCGGACAGGTTTTGGAAAGTATAAACGTTTCTTTATGAATTTTTTTCTTCAATTTGAGGTCTTTTCTCTGATTAAGTAACCTCTGTCTCTAAACCATTGATTTTTATGATCGTGCAACTTAATTTGAACTCAGTTGTATCTTTTAAAATGTCTTGGTTTAAGAAGTAACAAATAAAATTTAACCGGTCAAGGGATTCCTTCACAAATCCTTTGCACAAATGATGGTGAATAGCCTCTGATGGTATAGAAAATGATCTATCCAAGACTTTATGTTTTAAGATAGACTTCACTGAATATCAGAACACAAATTACAACCTGGGGCAAGAGAGTGGAACACTGGAAATGAAGAGCACATTGAATGCAAGTTTAAGGAAAACTTTGAAGTAGAATAAATGTTTCAGACCTAGTTGCTCTTCAAGGCAGGCAATTTCAGTAAAAGGACTACCAAGCTTACAGAATTTAAAAGCACTCTGAGGGGGTAGTAGGCAGAGATTTTACTAAAGGGTGATTTCTAAATTTATCTCAGTCAACACTACAAGAAAAGTTCAATTGAAACGAAATGTGATTGTGTGAAGTATTTTGCAGTTGTTTTGTTATGAGATGTGAAAAAGAAGGAAAGTAGAAATGGAGTGTATCTTTGTGAGCCATTCACAGACTATGAGTACTGTAAGCAGTTTTTCACATATAAAACTTTTGTAGACTGTAACAAAAGCAGTCCTTTAAGAAGCGGTTGAAGTCTCAGACCTCCATGCATTCTAGAGTAAGAGTCCACTTGAAAGAGTAGAATTTAAGACAATTGCAGAAATTTCTTCTAGTTCATATTTTTAAATATATGTTGAATAAGTCAACTTAGTGCTGTTTGGCTTTTATAAAAAATTATCTTCTTTTTTTTCCATGTGTTACTTTCTATGTGCTCAAGCATAGGCAGTTTAGAACTTTAAATGTCTAGCTTTGCTTTGTTTTCCTGAATGTTGTGTTCTAGTGACTCTGAAATATCAGCTTCTGAAAGTCTGGAAACCCTGATTATGAAGACAGGGCAAAACACTGATCCGGTGCAAGACAGAAGTAAACAACGGAGAAAAAAGCAAATACAAGATAGTCAAAACCCCTGCAATGTTGTTTGTTTAGAAGACAAAAAAACTCAGTACAATAAGAAGGTATATAATAGAACTTATTTTGGTCTCCTTTACAGAGTGTTGAAATTTAATACTTATCACTGCTCTTCCTCTCTTAATTCATTTTCCTTTTGTTGTAAACTGAAAAGAAATTTGCTTCCAGATTCAGTGGGTAGTTTCATTATCATTAAGAATATTTTCTGAACAATTATTCTTGAAAACTATTTGGAAGGGGTGTAAGGAGTGAAAAAGCTGATTAAAAAATGTAAAGCTTCTGTGAGTTAGACCTGCTGTCTCACAGTCCAGACAAAGAATGCTGCAAACATCCTATTAAACTCCTCAATCAGAAAAGCCATACAGAATAGTGACCTAACCCATACCAAGAAAACAGGAACATCTGCTCCTCCACTCTCTTAAAATGGTGTGCTGACTAATCAAGCATGAACATTTCTCAGGTTTGTGTGCACAGAGTTATTTCCATCTTGGAAAGAAGCTTTTGGCTCTAGCTCTGTCCAGGAAATTCTATCTAGAGAAAAGTGTGCAGTTACCTTCATCTTAGCCCATTTACATTCATTGTCTGAGATCTGAACCTCTTGTCTCCTTCCTAACATCTATATGCTATTTTCTCACATAAGAGGGCCAGCCGGTCTCTAAAGACTCCATATAGTCTATAACAGATTAGTCATTTTTGGACTTTTGAACAATGTCTAGTACTTTTTCTCTCCTGTGTTTGCCGAAATAAATCACTTCACTTCATGGAATTTAAAGCACAAGCAGGTATTGTTCTTTCTTAGTTCAAGAAACAGAATTATAAAACAGTGAACAACTTGCTGCTGTTAGAAATTCTGTTATATATGGTGCTATAATAAAGAGTTTGAAAACAGATTATATTTGCTTAATCTCCAAAATTTTAAATACTAACTCTGGTCCCATCAAGATCCCAAAATCTTGATTTTGTGTTTCCATCAAAAAAATCTATTTTCCTGACAGAAAAGCTGAAAAAAAAAAAAAAAGGAAATTCTTCTACATCTATTGTTATAGTATACACAGTTCGAGCAGGTGCATATGATACATGTGAAAGTCTGACAGGGTGTGCTGCTCCTGTTATCTCCTGCTGCTCCTAAGTGAGGATATGTAAGGCAGGGAATCCAGGGCTCTGATCTCTCTTGCTTGATTGTGTAGACACAGCCAGTTTTACTTCTTGTGTTTTCCTATGTTGCATTTGGTCTGTGTTCTTACCGGAAAAGACAAAACACGGATATATTCTGGTACGTGTTTGTAACAGATTAGTGGACTTGGAGCATACAGAGGAAGCACCCCAAGAGCCCTAAAAAAGTAAATATACTTCAGCAGAAGTCCATTGTTGCAGGAAAGCACCTGAAAACATAGTTTGCAAGTACAGAAGAGAGCATTACAAAAACGTTTAGTATTGGCAACTGGGAAATCTAATTCTAACAGAAAACTTAAATTCCTCCTGGGGATTTAAAGGCACTCCAGCTGGGTCCTGGTATTCTCGTGCAAAGGGAGGCCTTGGAGGTGAAATAACTGAGGACACAAGGACTTTCAGTTTTGCCCCGTGTGGTATACATATACCCTGTGCAGTATCAAGAGAATTACTGGCACTCTATATAATTCGAGTGGGGATCTCTCTCTTATCACCACAGGCATGGATTGTTTGCTCACCACCAGCTGAGAGCTCAGTTCTCTGTAAAATACAATCACCATTTCATGCTAGTATCAGATTACATTTCTTAAGTGTTTGTGGGATTCTCTGATCATACTGATACAAACTTATTATTGGTTTCCATTGCTGCCTTTGAGACATAAAATAATTAAGAGACTGCCGTTTTGTTTTCTTTTGTTTTCTTTTGTTTATTGGTATGTTGTGTTGGTTTTTTTTCCAGGATGTGCAATTTCCCTGTCCTTCAGATTGTGTAATGGTTGTACAAATCTAGAATTCATGGCTAAGCTATCCTACAATGTCAATATTTTTTTCTGTGCAGTTAATAGATAATCCATTGCTCTTTATACTCTTCTAAATTTGATGAACAGCTATTTTCATTACAAATCTTTTTTAAAAAATCTTGCATGAAATTATAAACTAAAAAATTTTAAAATTGGGTAAATGTTGCAGAATTCCAGAGCAAATGTTTCAAAATACGCTGAGCAATTTAAGAGCCAGGGAAAGGGTACTTTGATTTTAGAACAAGCCACATTCTGACCATTTTCTCTTTACACATTACAAGCATTCTTCTTCAGCCTCTGCTTCCATCATGAGTGTTTGATAGATTCTGGAAATAGCTGATTTTTCAAATCAGATGTATGAAAGACATGCAGCTGACTTTTGTTAAACTCTGTAAAAACACAGAGATTGTGTTTGCATGTCCATAGATATTCATGTCTCTTCCAGTTACAGCAGAGTCTAATCTGATCTTCCTCCTTTTGAATTAATAAGGCCTCTATTTTATTATTTTTTTTTACCTAGATCTCTTGAAAAAATTGATATTTTAAGCTTCCAAGTAATGCACACCATCTTTTTTCCCAAGAAAATTAATATCTTATTTTTAAAAGTTTAGCCATTAAATTTTTCCCTTGCATTCTTAGGAAAGGGTTACGATTTGAACTATAACAATTCTTTATTTCTTCTACATTTGACAGGAAAAGCAGAAATCTGTACTCTTTGCTGGCTGATATTCTAAGACTGATTTTCAAATTTAAATTAATTAGAAATTTGTGTATTATTTGAAGTAATTTTTGTTGTTTCAATTCAAACTGGAAAACTTCCACGTATTGCGCTTGGTGTGCCCTAATGAAGAGTGGCTAGCTTTGTGCTTCTGTTTTTTATTTAGGGCCATTCACAGAATAAAGACCTGGATAAGTTACATTCAAAGAGGAAGAAGATCTGCTGTCTCATAAAATCTTACCCATCTTTTCTAAGCCAAGGTATGAATATTATCTTTTTTTAGCATCTTCATAAG